ATGCAGGATTCCTTTTCTACAGCTGAGTATTTGAGTATAACCCTGCGCAGCCAGCTAGCTGGCTACCTGCATCTTTGATATCTGAACTAAGCCAACCCAGTGATTTAAGAGGAGCTTGCATCTGACTGTTTGCAGTAATGGACCTTCTGCTGTGCACTCTCTCTCTTTGGCCTTTCCCATCTTTGATTTCATCACCTTTGGGGTATGCTACAGGATGCCTTTTTTCCTTAGGCTTCACCTGGAGTAAGATTTATCGGGGTTATGAGATGAATGCCAATGTTGAGTTTGTTCTGGAGCTTGAGAAAGCTCTGTTTAGGGAGGTTTTACTGCCCTATTGAGTGCTCGTTAGTATCTTTAAAGTTTTTCAGGTGAGCATCTGAAGAAACTGCAAGAGGCAGAACACATAGCTAAACTGAACAACACCATGCTTGCTTGCACTACCCCTTCCAGGAACCACACGGAAGTAGCTCTCCCCATCTCAATTCTCCTCTCTCCCATTGGCTTGTAAAGTGAAGCCAGCAACGAACAACAAACAGAGGTAATAAATAAGGCTCGTTTTCGACTATGTTTGTGCAATTCCCATATCTAAATCCCCAGGCTACCACAAGCTCTGGAAAAATACAGGGAAGGAAGTTACATTAGTAGTTCCACCCAAAACTGAGTTAGCACTTTAGACAGACAACGCTCAGTTCATTGAAATGATCACATGACTCTGACACCAGAAACAGGCCACTGACCCAGCCAGGTATTAGGCCACACAGAAAACCCAGAGACGAGATTATAAAGCCAAAAGTATTTTCAAAAGAGGATAAATGCTTTTCACATTCCCAAAAAGAGGAACAGTTTGTCATGGCACTTCTCAGCCTTTTAAGAGGCTCTCCACAGTAGCCAGACATCTAATTACTTAATAAATGCAAAACCCTGCTATTAACCACCACCTATAGAGGAGCTGCCTGATTTTTACAATAGGAATCCTTCACTGAAGCCTCAGTTCTCACAGGATGTGGTTTAGATAACCAACACCTAACGGAGAGACTCCTCAGACAGAAACAGACATATTTCCCCTGCAGTGTGAAAGAAAGAAATTTAAATTACTTCGAAGCTTATTTCTGAATAGCTGGCGCACAGTACCACAATTTAGAAACCAACCTAAATAAAAGCAGTGAGCAGGTACCTACTGCTCCTTCTAGTCAGCCATAGTGTGACCATTACTTTTACACAGAATTTTATCCTAGCACACCAGGAAAGTTAAAACTACTGTCAAATACCAGAATTTGGGCTCTGCATTACAAATAGACGACACATATCAGCAACATAGGAAAAATAATTTTGGAGCAGGATGTCTCTGAAATATTGCAGAAGTTGTAACATTTCAACCAATTTCTGTTCCGCCCATGCAAGTTACAGGAAGCAACAGGAAGCTTTTGAAACAGCACAAAGATCTGCTGCAACAATAATGACCTCAATGTTTGCTTTTTTGTGTTTTACACCACACTTTTTCCTCATGTTTTCATAACATTCCTAGCATCAAATTGTACAAATATGGTTTCTTACACCGTCCCGTACCTGCTGCTCATCCTCCATGACGTTGCTGGCAAATTCAAACACAAGCTCATTCTGCTGTACAACTGCTGCCATAATAACGCATTCCCAGGTCTCAGCTCCACATACGAAGAAAAATGTTCTCCAATGTGGAAGAATGGAGAGCGTCACCGAGGTCCAGCTGGGCAGAAAGGCAGGATCACAAAACGAATCAAGTATCAGCGTTCGTATTTCTTAGATCATCGGTGTTCCCTGGCTTTTCTCTTCTCAAAGGGAAACAAACCTTTCCTGAGTTGTTCTTCCCACCTCGATAGCCTTTATCACTGTGGAGAGAAAAAATAGAAAAGTTATAATTAAGAAATGATTGCTTTAGCTCTGTGAAATAGTAGCAGTCACAATAAAGCTTGCTCCAAACTATAACTGTTCTAACTCCAAAGAAGTCAGACATCTTTCTATCTTCAGAGGTATTAATTTTACTGATTAATACAAGTGAATTTTCATTCCCTTAAAAACAAAACTGTTTCAGGAAGTAAGACATCAGTTTCAACGTGTTTCATATTAAAAGCATGATACTAAGAAAAAGTTATGGAAGTTAACAAAAAGAAAATCCATCTTTTCATTTGATTCATATATGCAGTTTTCACATTCATTACTAACTCTCATCTTTAAAGTACATTCGAAGTAAAAATACAAAACCCAGACTGACCTACTCAGCTGTAGGATACCTCACATATATCATCCTTCTTCACACAGTTCAAATTTAGCAAAGTTGTTATTTTGCAAGTAAAATGCTCTAGATCTTGATTTCCACAGTGTCAAACAGATGAAGCCAGTAAACAAATTTTGTACAATTCAGAGTGTCCCCAAGTTCCTACACAAAGCAGATCTTCAGCTTCTTGTTAAAAATGCACTGTAAACGTATCCTTATCTCTACCACAGGCTCGTAAGCAGCCGGAAGGAAACAGCACTGACCACGTCATGGCAAATTAGAACAGGCAAAAAAACTGCACAGTACAATAGCAAAGAAAAAAAAATCCCAAACTACGGAATGTAAACAGCTTCACTGGAGGGATGCGTGCCTACAGCTCTCATGTTTTCATTTACTCCTCAGCGCCAAAGGTAAACACGGTTAAAGTGAGCTTACAAAGTGAGCTACCACTTCTGGGGAAACCGGCGAGCACAAAACCTACTCTTTTACTACAATTAAGGTGACCAATACATAAATAATAAAAAAAAAATCTACCCTTTCAAAAGAATAACAGAAACAGGTCTCTAAAATTAGGAACCTAAGGGAGTATGTTGGTGCCTAGAATTTAGACCCGTATGTTTTCAGGGAAGCGAGACGCGTGGTGCCTAGATTTTTGATCAAAATACTTTGATCAAAAATTGCCTTTGATTAAAGGCTGCTGCAACAGAAGAATAAGGGGCAGAGGTCTAACATGTACCCATCCAGACCGAGATCCCCAGGAAAGCCTCTGGACAACTTCAGTGCCACTGGCGAGGATTAACACCTGCCTTTGTACAGGAGGTTTAACTTTGCCTTGTTTTTACAGCATGCTGAAAGTCAAAAAAATGAAGGGCATCCTCCTCTCCCCAGTGCCAAGCAATTTAATCAGGGAGGATCATGTCACAGGCTCATACTCCCTCACTCCAGGAAATGTAACAGCTGTTTTTCCCATACAGATTGTGGTATTCCCAAATTTCTAAGCAGTGATGGCAGAGCATTCCAGCATTTAAGTCACTAGATCCTACCCTTCTAAGAAATCAGGAAACCCAAGATTATGCAAAGAGGAGAACCTCCCCAACTTCCAAAGCATGCTTTAATCAGCTGTGAAAGGGTTCATAAGAGCAGCCACAACCCTAACTAGAGAACATTTGCTTTAATGAGAGCTACAAGCATGATCAGAGAAGGATGTTCTTTGGGAACCATGACTGTCCAACCTCAGCCCCTGCCATTTTGCAGGATGACTTGAATAGTTAACAAGGCTTTCTCTGTACTTCAGCGAGGCTATGGCACTGAAAGCATTACATGCAACCATACAACCCTGGGTAACTTCCCTAAATGTAATTATTTGGCTTCACCTTTTAGAAAGTACAAATGTCATTAAGAAGTTACACACACATGCCAGCACATTTGGACTAAGACCAACTTGCCCCATCCTGGACTCCTACCATCCTGTATGCCAGCCTGAAAATAAAGTACATCGCCATGTAATATACAGTTTAGTTTTTCCTCCAGACAGTGATTGAAGTGGGTCAGTCTATGTCAACAGGGACATAACAGCTCTTTCAGAAGAGAGGACAGGTATGGAAATTTATTTAAGTACAATTTCTATTTTGGTTACTGCCTAGAAATAAATTGTAACTCTCCAATAAGACAAAATAATAATATTTTAAGTCATTCCCTCTCATCTATGAAGAGCAACTTCACTCCAAAGGAACACCAAGCAAATACGAGAACCTACTCAGCTTCCAAATGGAGATTTATTTTAAAATGTGGGTTAAGCCAGGGAGAAGCAGAGCTGGAATACAGCAAAGGCTTATAATCATCTCCGTTACACTAATTGAAGCCACATGTATGAACAAAGAGTACAAGTTCTTAACGTCCAGTAACTTTCTAAGGTCAGTAACAATTAACAGCGTCAATGCAAAATCACCATAAATGAAGTGTTGGACACTCAGGCTACCTAGTAAGTTCATGAAGTATAAGGAAAACTGGAGGTACAGCCACTGTAAGACAGATTTTTAAAGTTCCCTACATGCATTGGGAACTGGCATATTCTTCCATTAGCGCCAGGTTATTCATTATTCTGTAAAATATTAGTATTTTATAGTAGATACTACAGTGTCAAGATGCACACTAAATGCGTAAGATCCAAAAGCTGTGGTAACAAACTTACTAAAAGCCGTAAAGAAATCTTTTCTTACTTTTTATTTAAAAACAAAGAAACAAACAACAAAACTCTCAATGCAAAACTAATCATATTTTAATATCATTTAAGAGACTGCAACAGCATATTGCATTTGATCGCAAAGGGATCCACACAAACATTACTTAGAATAGTCACACTTTATGGTAACACAAAGTTCCTAATCGTCTGATACCACTGCAGGAACGGACATTCAAAGCTGTTTTACGAATTTTGCACCGCGGTGATAAAGTGATGTAAGACTACATAGCAGACTGTTCCCTCCCCTCTACACCCCTCCCCAAAACCACCAAGGAATCTATAAATGAAGTCAAATGATATCATCTTCTTCTAAGAAAAGAAACATCTAACCACAACATTATGACCAAAGTCAAAGACAAGGGAGTGAACAGGTTTTAGTGAGCTTTTATATCTAACCCTATAAAGGTTAGACACTCAAATTATTATTATTTACAGGAAATTTTTCATTACTTCTTCAGCTGTGTGCAGCAACAGCAAATAATCTATTGGGCAGTAACAGCATGGCAAAATAATGCAAAAGTACTTTCCTTTAACCTATATCACTTTCTGTGGCACACAGAAAACAAGAGCAGCTTTTCACAGAAGCCAGCACAATTCTAAACCATCTATATTTTCCTCCACATCTATTTTTATAAACTATGCTTTCATTATTCCAAGTATCACAGGATCCTGCTGTCTATAGGCTAACACAAACAAGACTATTGTTTTTGCTATATAATGCCACTTATTTCCCTGCCTGATTTTACATACATCTGTGAGTAGAAAATAAGTTATTTGCAAACAGCATAGAATGCATAAATTGTATGCACATGCACAATAAGCTTGACTACACACAAATAGTCCTAGGAGAAAGGGAACCCAGCATATATTACCATAAAATTTACATAAAATTTTCAGAACTACAGAGTAACTACGGTTTTGCTTTCATTTTTACTAATTGTTGTAGAAACATATTATAAAAAGCAATATTAAGACACGGCAATATAAATAAACTTCTCAACTTTGCTTAATCCTTGAAACCGAACATACAAATAATTATTACAATCCCTCTGGAAATTCCCCTCTTCTGCCGATTTCAACATACAGAAACAACCTCCTCAATCAGTCTGTCATAAAGTACATTCAGCCAATTTAACCCTTAGTACACTGCCACTCTGGTACCCCAGAAGACACATTGTAGGACTCCTTCTAGCTAGATATCACAACTTTTTTTCCCCACCGCTCTACACCCTGCAACTTGACTCTAGCCCTATTTAGTCACTTCAATAAAGCTTCTAAGAAATACCTCCAGAACCAATGGTTTTGGTCCCAACGGTGAAGCTGCAATACTGCTCCAACTTGGAAGTAACAAATCCACAATTTCTCCTTCAACTCCTGACAATACGAGCCAGTATAGCCCTTGGTGCCCTAGCATTCAAGCACTGTAATGCAGAACACTGAAACAGCACAGCGGCACACCACAGTGGAGCAGGTGTAGCAGGCACCAAAATGCCAGGCTCAAACCCAAAAATTTGCTGAAGGCGCTCAGCTACAAACTTGGAAGGCTCAAGTCTTGGTACTGAGAGTGCCCCAGCTGACCTGAAAGATGCCTCCAGCTGACCTGAAAGATGCCTCCAGCAAGCTACTGGATCCAGTCCCATTTAGGGTTACTAAAGATGACTGTAATTATCCTGAACTGCCTTTTTTTTCGGTGAAATTAGTGAGATCATTCATACATTTAAAATTAAGAACCAGCTTAGCTGCTTCAAGATTCAAATGCAGATCGGAATCCCAAGTTACGCCTTAAACAGCTTAACTCATTTATCACAGGAAGAAAAGACTTGCGACTGAAATTTCCCATTGATTTTCTAAGACAGTCTGCAGCATTAGCTTTAGCCTAGAAGTGTCAAAGTTGTGACTTAACAGAAATGCAAAGCTGAACTCTCCATCTCAGCACCATCTTGGATGTGGGAGGAAGAAGGGAGCGAGTGATAGGAAAGGGAATAATAAAGACATCACCTGAAAATTTTGGACTGAAGGACTGCAAACCATCCTGAGTGAGGTCAAACACATGGATGGTAACCACACCATTTTGCTCAAGTTTCTAGATCCTTTCTACCAGTGGAGGTTAAGGATGGATCAAGCCACCCTCTGCAGAGTCACATCTTTTTAAGAGACTCTACAAGTAATACATCATAGAGCCTAGTTTTCTTAAAAAGGGGAGAAATGCTGAATGGTATCACAGCTGTCATAATGCAGAAATCCCAAATCCATTATCATCTTTACGTATTGTCCACTCTAAGCATAAATGCTAACAACATAGACCACTGTGGCATTCTTCATGGATGAATTATTCCCATTCAGTAATATTAAGAAATTGCACAGAACAGGAGCT